CTACTGGCACTGCGTCCGGGCCCTCAACAAAAGCTAGACTACGGTCCGATTGGCAGCCTCAGAGAAATCAAGGTTCAAGATCATGAACACTTCAGAATCAGCTGGTTGATTCCGTAGTTACCTTCATTAAGCCTACATGACAAGCGGCATTGGAAAAAACATGTCAGTAGTGACAAACGCAACAATGCACGAGGAGCAGGTAGACTTGTATCTGCGAAGTCACACGAATCACTGTGATTGTGTTTACTCTCTATCTATCTATCTATCTATCTATCTATCTATCTATATATGCTAGGTGTGTATACAGACATATGTACATAACTATAATGAATAAGCCTGAACTCTTTTGAAGCCCTTCTGAAACCCCATAGAACATCAAACCCTACAGCAGACTTGCTTGTGCACAATCCATCACAATCCCTCTCGGGAGGCTGGCCTGCAACTCCAGCAACAACCTGCCCAAGTGCCGGTTTGGGTGTTTGGGCTTTTGGGTTTGTAACGATTACGGCGTTGAGAGGTTTGGGGTTGAGGGCTTTAGGATTTCGGCTCTCGCAGCTTGCACAAGGCGGGCAAGGATCCACGACAAGACTGGGCACACGTATCTTTGAATACCTCAGACCTTACCGGGTTTAGGGGCTCAGCAAGTTAGGGGTATGGGGTTGCGGGCTTTCGGCTGTATATGGGTTCAGGGCTGAGGGGGCTTAGCCTTTCAATTCGCCCCCCGTCCACTTTGCCGGCTACAATCCAGAAAGGCTCAACGGGGTACCACACAAACGGAACATCACAACTTCACGGGGGGTGTCGGGGAGGGCTCAGGGCTTCGGGGTTCAGGGTTTGAAGGTTTCGGGTTTGGGGTCTAGGAGATTCCAAACCACCACTGCTTTACTAAACTGCAACAAGCATTAGGCTTTGGAATGTACCATACTCACGTGCATCCCGTATGGCGAAGTCTTCACTTGCATAGTCCAGAACATTCTCCAAGGCCCAACTGAAACCTTCACAGATTAGCGGCAACCTCATGTAGGGGCCTGAATAACAAAAAATGGGGTTATGGGAGTTCCGTGCTACAATTGTAATATAATGGGCCCCAAAACCCCATTCTAATTATATCTAATTATTAAGGCCCTTATATTAAGCGACAGGCCCCGAAGAAAGGCACCCTAAACCCTAAAAACCCTTAACCCTGAATCCTAAAACCCTGAACCCCAACACCCTAAAGGCAACATGAGGCAAGGCCTTGTTCATGGCCTGGGCTTTTCTCCAGTCAGCTGTTTAGGGGTTTAGGGTTTTTTGCCTCCCACCTAGCTAGGACAAAGCCCGCAATGCAGGGTACATAATCGGAGAACAGTGGCTTGTGTATGAAAGCATCTGTAGCTTCACACGTCTTGCAACAAAACACTATACAGCTCAGGGTTGATACATCTCGTATCCCGTCACTCAGGACAGCAAGCACAAGCAACTTTCCTGAGGGTTTAGGATTTGGGGTTTGGGGAGCTTCGCAGTGAAAGAGTTCAAGTAACAGGATGCATGGAGCCGCACGAGGTGTGCAGGCGTGTACTAGTCAAAATTGGTTTTGAAGCCCTTGTTGGCACCAATTTCTACCAAACAGCTGTTGTTGTAGAATCCAGCTAAGGGCTTACATTTTTATGCATGGCTGGATGCTGCAGTACGTCTGGCTGACAGACAGCAAACTGTCACACGTCCTCAAGTTTGGCAAATAAGGTGCGAGATTGTGAGGTGAATTAACCCTCCAGAATCGTCGAGGACAGCGACGCCGGGCTGGAAACCGTGAATGTCGAACCAGACACGGTAAGACCTCTCTTCTGTTGCTGCCTAAACCATAATAAAACCCTGAACCACTGACTGACTGACTGACTGACTGACTGAGGATTGCGACAACTGCCATACTCAGCCTACCCCAAAGGGTCCTAGGTACGGATATGGGGCATACTTGCTCAAATCATAATAATGGTTCCTTACTATACGGTACCCCTATCTTATATGTACTGTATAGGTACTTGGGACTTACCACAATAGCTGTTTTTTCTGCATCCCAAAATATCCTAATGATTCTTTGTAACTTGCATCAAGATCCACACGAAACCTTAAACTCAGGAAATCCTGCGGAAAACTCAGTAATCCGACAATCTGAGCCTTCGGCTAATCCACAAACTAAGGGACGCAGGCGCAGCTCAAACGGGGCGCTGAGAGCCCATTCACAGGAGACATGAAGTTCAGGACACAGTGGTTTTGCACCTTACTAAGGCTTAGGTTTTCGATATTAGGGGGCAAGACTTTCAGCACTCACAACTAGGCACAGTAGGGTCTAGGGGGCGAGAACCCGCCGGAGGCTTCCATCAGATGAGCAGTGTTCAAGAGGAGTTCAGGGTTGGGGTAAAGGGTTTTTAGGGTTTAAGGTGTTTAGTGGTAGTCTGTTCGGAGTCCGAGCAGTTGCGCACTGTTGCTGTATTGAGAGCACGTTTTTTTTTCAATATAATCC